GTTGTACATTTTAAAAGCCATTTAATCACAATGATTCCTAAAATGCATTATTTAAAATTCAAAGACAGTCAAAAGCATAAAAACTAAAATTGGAACAAAGTAGAAGCAGACCCAGCATTTAAAACATCCTAGAAACATGTCACTTATGAAAAGTCCAACTAGAAATTAAATTTGAGGTTCCAATAATCTTAGAGGACGCTCATTCCCAATACTGAAAGTCACCACTAATAGGCATGTATAGTTCTCCTGGACCTAGATCCACTATTCAGTACAGACTTTGCTTATAAGTAGTCTCAGAATCATTTGTTTTAGGATGACTGCAATATAATACTACATTGGCTGCAAACTCTGGAGAATTCTTGGCTAATTCTCACAAAATTTAGCATACTCCTTAGTTTTCAGAAGTTTTCAGAAGCTGCAGAAACTGCACAAAATCATGCTCCAAAGCTGCTTCAGTAACAAAGGCCTTGTGCAATTTGGAGCTTGAAGGTAAGTACTATTCCCTAAGGAAGCTTTGCAAATGTCAGTGGTAGTGCTAGAGATAATGTCAAGGACTGGACTTCTGCTTCAAGCCTTAGTGCTGCCACTGAGTACCATTATATACTCAGGGGGTACCGGAGGGTGGATTCCCTGGAAGGCCTAGTGCAGGCCAAGTGCAAGTTGGGGGGAGGTGGCACAGTATGGACTGGGCCTGAAGCATTATTATTTTATTATTCATTTTATTATTTTATTTCATTTTTATTTACAGGATTTATATGGCCGCCCACTCACTCTGAGTGACTCTGGGTGGCTTACAAACAATAAAAAAATATACGGGTCTCCCAGGGACTGCACCACCCTGAGGCACCCCATGCTCCACTTAATGACCCGCGCAGTCTTAATGACTACAGCCGGAGAGCCAGGATCATGACTGTTGAGCGAAATGATCACATGCATGCCTTGCTTAACAACCACTATGACTTATGCCCCAAATCTGGGCTCATTTGTTGTTTTGAGGTCTATCTGTAGTTATGTAAGTCCCACAATTGACTTGACCAAGATTAAAAAAACAAAGAACCCATCAGTGCATACATTTGTTTTCAGAATTATAAATACAGATTTTAAAAAACTAACTGTTACTACTAGTGGCTTATGTAAGCAATCACACTTACAGGATGTTCAGTATCGGTATCAGAAGTATCCATGCTGGTCTCTGAATCACTTTTGGAGAGAGAGAATTAAAAATAAAGATTCTCATATACATTTTTTTAAAAAGCAGAACTGTTTGCATCTCCCTTAAATCAACTCATATTATGAATGAAGAACACACTTTTTTAAAAAAAAATGGTCTGTTAAAAAAGTTGCAATTTATTTTCCCCATCATATTATTGACGGTATATTAATATAATGTGTAATCCTTCTATTTCAAGGATCAGCTGCAATAATTCCTAGTTTTTCGTGCCTAAGGAAGGAATAATAGTAGTGCATAGTAGAAACTTTTAGTAAGATGTAGTGCTGTGTAAATTTTCCATAATTAAGCTTCAGATCCTTTCCCCTTTTTCCAAATATTATCAGCCTTCAATTCTATATATTCATATTTTTCTAATTCATATACTTTGTTACTTCATCTAGAAGCAAATCAGAATTTTATTTATCTAAATGTAGGATTAGAAAAAACACAAGTGCATTTATAATGCTAGCCACAGTTACTCCAAAGCTAAAAATTAATTATATCAATACTTACATAAAAATAAAGAAGGGACAAAAGTATTCCTAACTGCCTAATATTTGCTTGCAAAGGGTATAAATTACACTAGATTAACTACCAAAAACTTTTTGGAAGGTCACCATGCATTTGAGGAAGTGCATTGTGTCTAAGGAGGTGTACACGATAATAAATTTGTTAATCTTTAAAGTGCCGTAAAGCTATTTTGAAGGGTTTTTTTACTATAGTGATTGCAACTTACTTTTCATCCCTTTTTGTCTTCTTTGTTAAATATTCATCTTCTAGAATGGCTAAATCTGTAGATTTTATCTCATCTTTGATTATCCCAATAACTAGAAAGAAAAATACATATGGAATCAATAATAATAATAATAATAACTTGCTCAACGTGTAGGGACATAAAAGCATTTTGGATTAAGATTTGGTGGAATATTCAAAATATTTTTAAGAAAAAGATAAAGTTTACACTGCAGTTATTTTTGTTAGGTATTATGGAAGATTTGGATGTTAAAGAAATGAATTTGATGTTGAATCTTATAACAGCTGCAAGATTATTGGTAGCGCAATTTTGGAAGAAGGATTGCTTGCCTACTATAGAAGAATGGACGCTTAAAGTGTCAAATTTAGCAGAAATGGCTAAAATTTCTGCTTATTTGAAGGATCAATCACAAGAAAGATACATTTCGGTCTGGAGAAGATGGATAGATTATATTCAAAATAAATATGGGACTAAAAAGCTTCATTTGGGTTATGAGTAAATTTTAGAGTATTGTTATTATTAATAGTTTATTTTAATGGAATTTTTGTCAGTTTTAATTACATGATATTATTATTTTTAATATTAGTATTGTATTGTTTAATATTTAGGTTATGAATAGGTCTATTATTGTGTTTAATTTTAATTTGTTTAAATTTATGTTAAAGGGGAGTTAAAGCGCATTATGGACTTGGTTATTTAAATAGTTGGTTAATGTTAGATAGATTTTGATTATTATATTTGTAACCCTGTGTTCAGCTCTGGGAAGTGGGGGAGGGGGAGGGAGGGGTTTTGGGGTGGGTATGGGGGTTTATATTGTAATTTCTATAAAACGTTTAATAAAAAAATAATAATAATAACTTGCTCATATATGAAACAAGAATCAAATTATATTTTGTACAGAATACAACCAACAGCCAGCACTAGACAGATTAGAGTATTCAAAGATATTGGTCTTAAATTAAGAAAACAATCTAAAATATTAAAGCTAGCTGGTTCTTCTCACATGACCAAGTTCATATACACCTTCTTTCTTTCTCTTTCTCCAAGATATTTTACATTACTTACATAAGCTAGCTTGTATGGCCTAATTTCACTTCAAATACAATATTAACAAACATACCTTTCTCAACCTGTATTCTAAAGGCATTTCTTTTTCTTCGTCCATAATCAGCACTGAAAATCAATTTTAAAAGCCACAGTGAATATTTCTTTGTATGCCTCATTTTCAATGTAGAAGCCTAATGCAAGCATCATAAGGAAAAGTACCCTAATGCATAATTACCAATGTCAGAGTAAAAAAAAAAGACCAATAAATACATTCAAATACATATTAGAATAAATATTATATTATACTGTGTAAATTATCCAGGTTTGGTCATCCGCAGCTTCTGCTTGAAGAGATTAGATTAATCCTAACATTAATCCTATGCTGAAAGAAGGACGTAAAGAACAAAAGACAATGCAAGAATTAATATATAAACATGGTATAGCAAGAATGGTTTTAAAGATATAGAGAGATGTAGTAAATAATTAGGGCTAGGGTTTTTGTTGTATTTCCCTTTCTCTTTTTTCATGCTTCTAATTTGTTTTGCTTGCTATTGATTCTTTATGTGCTTTGTATACTTATTCTTATCACTTATGTTTGTATATCTGTATTGATTTCATTCTTGCAGTACACAATGTAAGAAATAGAGAAGATCATTAAGCCCTGAGGTTTACACTTTACAAGTTTAATTATTATGCCATTTATTATTATACATGCACTACTCCACTGCCCCTTTCATAGAAAATGTAAAGTATTAAATCTCTTACTACTCACCTATATATTTTCCGTAGTTCTGCTGCTAGAATTTCAGTGTTAACGTACTGGCCACATTTATTACTGTTTAGATACTGTAATAAATATAACTAAGTTAGCATATTTAAAGATACATACAATTCTTTACAATATGAAAAATAATATTAGCATAAAATCATATGTGAACAATTTAAAATAGATGCAGCACTGCAAGTATCTACACTGGTTTTTAAAAGCAAAGAGATTAAAGTAAAATCTTAATTTACCAGATCCCCATTTAGCAGCTTTTGATTGCAAGATCAAGTTTTTGTCCAGATAATGGACTATTAAGTGTATATTAATTTTGCAACATCGTGAGAATTAAATTAAGCAAATAATATCAAATTGCCACAGACAACTTTTGCATGCAATGGTATTCAAGAATAACCAACAGCATTTTCTTCAAATGTTTCTTTATGAGTTTTCAAAGGCAAACCAGAATATTTAATTGTAAATAAATCTAGTGAAGGATGGCCATACTGATTTTTATCTTTCTTTTCAAATTACTGAGCTCTCTGAGTGAGCAAACTAGTGGAATTTGGCAGGACAAGCAAGTGAACAAAGGAAGAGTAGGAAGAACAGAATGGAAGAATCAAGGCAGAGACTGCTAACTGAATGATTCTGCTGTTTCCTAAGAGTTGTGAATGCACATTATGCTACTAAATGGTAACTGTTTGACTGGAACATTGCTTGCTGTTGACCTAGTCGGGATATAGCATCAGAGGAGTATATATAAGGAATCAACCTCCTGGAGATGATCTAATAGGAAAGTGACTTTTGTTACTATTTGTTCATCAAAAGAACATGGAGATGGTAAAATAGAGTATAGGGGGAAAAAACCAGGAAGAACTGGAAGACTTAACGCAGGTAGGTAAGTGTGACATAGCAGGCATTAGTGAAATTTGGTAGGATGAAAGTCAGAAGTGGGATCAAAGAACTAAAGAATATAATTTATTCAGAAATAAATAAAATAGTAGGAATGGCATTATATATGAAATGAATAGATGCATGTATTGAGTTACAACAGTAAGAATCCAGTCAAAAGATTCTGGTCAAAGATTCTAGTCCTTTCCTTGGGTAAGAATTCAAGTGGAAACAATAATCACATCCCCAAGAATAGTATCTTAATTTACTTGTGAAGCAAAAAAACTAGATCCAATACTATGGAATATATAATCAACCTTCTACATTTTAATAATTCAAAAACCAATTTGCTGAAGTAATCTTCTGAAATTTAGTTACCTCAAGATATGTCACAGAACAATAACATTGTCAGGGATTAAGATAACACTATCCATTACTCATACATTGTGCTAAACCAATTTGTCAAATAAATAACAACTGATTGCGCTTCCACAAGATTAAAACCTAATTGTCCCCGTTTAGCGGCCATTCAAAGATATTGCACTGAAAAACTAACTTTACAAGTGTCTCAGTATCGTATCCCTATGGTCACATTATTGAGATTTGGTTGCTTTGTAACCAATGAGTAATTATGAGCATTGCAACATCCCATGGTCATGCGATCGAGATTTGGTTGCTTCATAAACAATAAGTGATTATGATTGTCACAGGTCCCTTGGTCATGGCTCACTTTTGACAAGCAGAGTCAATAGAAAAGCTGGCAGTAAAATTGCAAATCAGGGTTATATGATATCTTGCTTAACAACTGTAGCAGAAATGAGATTGTAACTCCATCAGGGTCATATAATGTCTCACTTAATAACCATGTCACTTAGGAGTTGCCAGTCCCAATTGTAGGAGGACCACCCGTATTATGGCTATATTTCCATGATACACTTTGTCTTCTCCCCTCAAAAAGCTAAAGCTTTATATATTCTTTATCAAAATATCAAACCTGGAACTGATGCCATGTTGGCATTACATAAAGCAGAATTTATAATGAAGCCAAACACCAAATTTTTGACCTAGTCTAAGTATTTGAGGAGTCTTGACTAATAGAGGATAGGGTTGCTGTTAACTGGTCATTAACCAGTCCTTTAACTTAATATGTACAAATAAGAGCAGCTCTTTCGAATCAACTCAACGCCCATCTTAGCCAGCATTTCATTTGTCATGGTTGCCAGAATAATACTTATGGAGTGCTCACAAATGGAATTTGGAAGCATGTTAACCCTACTCTGAGGAAGAATTAACAACCCATAATAAACCTATTTCTCATGGGTGTATTCAAACCCTTTAAAAGCCTTCCCAGTTTGGGAAACGTTTCAGATA